AAAGTATGGTTATTTCAACACATTATCAAGACTACTTGTCTTTATAACAAGTTCGACTATTATAGGCTTGGTCTTTTTTTCTATTGGCAAACAAGTCAATTATGTTGCTTTTTGATTATATCTATTAGAATCTATGAAAATCCATCCCATATTTTACATATTTTTTTTTCATCCATATAAGATAGTGAATATCTTGAAAAAAAAATAAATGCCACCTCCTCCTATAAAAGTAGATAATGAAGAGTTTGAGATGAAAGAAGTCTTAGATTCAAGGCAGTGCCAAAATAGATTGAAATATCTTATTTATTGGCATGGATATGATATTAATGAATGCACATAGGAGCCAATAAAGAATCTTATAAATATAACAAAGAGAGTTGAAGCTTTTCATTGACGACATCTATCAAACCAAGATGAAGAATAACAAATCATTATCATAAAAGAAATAAGTTTAAAGAAAGATAATACTCTATCTTCTATCTTTTTTTATAGATTTTTTATATTTGTGATGCTAAGGAGATGAAAAATCAATAACTAGCAAATTCAACTCAAGAACTTTCATTTGTTGACTTATCAAATAAGATATTATAATTGTCACAACTTATAAGACAATATAATTGAGATGAAGATCCTTAAAAATGACATGTCTTTTTTCAAATAGATGGTAAGATACAACGTGTTTGGTATCACGACCTTGGAAGAGACTCTTGATGTTTGGTGATTTTGTTAGAAGTAAAAATAATTCTTGACAGTGTTTTAAATATTTTATTTGAAAAAAGTTACAAAGGCCTCAAAAATGATCAAATAATAGGATGATCTTTTTGCCCTAATATGAAATACTATTAATAGCTAAGAAGACCTTCAACCATCTTTGAACAGAACAAAGATCAAAATATGTGATAAGTACAATTTACAGCATCTAAGTTTTTCTTAATATATAAAGACCAGTCTTCATCGAACTATCCTTAGAAAAGAGAGGAAATACCATGGATATATATACATATTCTAATAAATACTTATATGATTAGGTAGAAATAGGTGAAAGTAAATAAAAATGAGTTAATTTTATAATATCTTCTAAAGAAGCTTCATAGATGTTGCTTTGACTTAACATGTATTTTTAGTTGATTGGTGGGCTAGAAGCTTGGTTAATAAATTAATCATGTGTTGGTAGCTTGCAAAACAAGCTAATTATGTGGCACACATATAAAAAACTTACTTTATAAATTATGATATGTGTCTTCCAAAGTCAACACGTTTTGGAGGTCCTATAGGACATTGCCACATAGCTCCTAGTTAAGAGTATATATAGAGGCAAGAGTGAAGCCTTCTTCACTTTTATCAATGCTGCTTTAGTCCTCAGTCTTATTTCGAGATTTTCTAGTCTTCTTATTTTTGGCAATAGCTATTTTAATTCAATAATATATCATCTTTGATTGACTTTCTAATTCTTTTCAATGTCACAAGAGTGTATTGAGGATTTTTTTCTTTTGAGATTTATGTCTTTAATATATAGTAAGAAGATACTATTGTTGAGAAGTGCTTGCAAAACTTTGTTTTGTTATATACCAAAGTAAGATGCTCCTTTGCAAAAAGACACTAGGCAAAAGACCAAATACTACTAGGATGGAAATGAAGAGAAGAAAGAAGAATGCGCCTCATATGACAAATAGTTTTTGCATAGGAAAGCCATTATTAAAAAGTTTTAGGATTTCAACAATACTATTTTTAAAAATTCTTATAATTCCAATTACTTTGTATTCTTGTATTTCTATATTTCTTGAGTTTCTCAAGTTTCTTAAATTCTTTTCTTTATAGCCAATCAAAATACAACTTAATCTCCTTATTTTACATCCAGGTTGTTATAAATATATATATATATATATATATATAAAAATTCTATCTATACTTATTTATATTTAATTATTAAAATAATAAAATTATTTATAATATTTTTTTAAAATTAAAATATTAAACTATTAGTCTTTTTATTTATTTATTTTAATTATTAATATAATAAAATATATTTTAAAAAGTGTAGAATATTTTTAAATGATTAAGTATAAATTAATGGTAATATTTTTATTAAATATGATTTTAAAAATATAAGAAAATATATAACTATTATGTATAGGTATAATATACAAAAATAAAATAAAATATTAAAAAAAACTAAATAATCATTATGAAATATAAAAAAATAAAGTTGTATATTGGTAGTTGGATTAAGATTATATTGAAATATATTTCTATTTTAAAGTCAAATAATAGAATAGATCATATAATTTATTGGAGGATGTTTTATTTTTTAGATTTTTTTTGAGATCCTATTATTATGATTTAAAAAAATCAAAAATTTTACATATCAATACTTTATAAGGTAAAAGTATTACATATCTAATTCTACCTTTTTTATTTCAAAAAAAAATAAAGAATTGAACAAGTACTAAAATAAAAATATTTTCATTAAAAAAAAAAACTTTCGAAATTTTAATATTATTGAAGACAAAAAAAATAAAATAAATTAAATTAATATATTTTTTAAAAAAGAAATACTAATATGGCTTATTTGACATAAAATAAATGTGCTTCAAAATCAAAGATCCATAAATAATACTAATTTATCAAATATTTATTTTATATACTTCTTCTAAAGAATAGAGTAAGTGATAAAATAGTATATAGAAAGAATACAAGATTGAGTCACATTGTTATTAAAAGGATGATAATTACTTCATATCATTAGAGTCCTCAGAAAATATTTTTTTAAAGATAAGAATATTTTGCTTCGTAATCTATAGCACAATTTGAAAAAGAAAGAATTGCTTAGTCATTTCTTGTAAAATATATATATATATATATATATATATATATATATATATAGTTAAATTAGAATTATATAAGTATAACTATTTTGAAAATTAAATTTTATAAAATATATATACTTAAAAACCTATATAGATGAGCCAAAATTAATAAAAATACTTAAAATAAGAAGGAAAAAAATATAATTAATTAATTAATTAAAGACTTTATCAAGAAGTTTTTATTGGTTATTACGTTTTTGGATAATAAAAAATAAAATAGGAAAAATTTATAATTTTTTTAATTAGACGTAAAATTATGATTTCATAAGAGAATTCAAATACATACATTTACTAAATGGATATTGATTAGATAGATACATAACATGTTTATTGATTTGATCTTTTTTACATTTTTTTTGATATAAGAATTTTAGGACATAAAATAGTGTTTTTACTTTCTACCTTTATAATCATTGAGAAAATTTTAATTTGTATTTGAAAAATAAAAAATAAAACATCTGTATTTAGTATATCACTTTTATAATTTAAATTTTAATATTTACTTCTAAATAAAATAAAATAAATATAAAAATTTATCATGATTTTTCAAGAACTACAATTTGTTTGTTTTAAAAATATTTATAGCAAAAATTATTATTTAAAATAAAATTATAATTTGAAAATAAATAAATTCTCTAAAAAATACCAATACCTATTATATATATATATATGTAAATGTATATGTATATATATATATATATATATATATATACATATATATTATATAAATATGAAGTATTTGAATATTTTAGAAAACATGATTTGTACATAGATAGTACTTCAATAGCCTTTTATAAAATATTTCTACAAAACAATATTTTGTGCTACTTGAACTCAATGATATATTTTTACCACCAAATAGTAATGTGTCAACAATATCCTTGTATTGCTTTGAATTAGAATATTGGATTTTGTTAGAAGATCTTTATACCTAAGGATCCACTTTGAAAGGCCATCATTTAGAAGCTTTATCAAGATTCTCGATTAGATTAAAAAAATAAAAAAAAAAAAAAAAAAAAAACTCTTCTTTAAAAGCCTTGGTCTTAAAATATAATATACAATTCAAGAAGTCATGAAATAGACTAAATTACTTTTTTTTATTATAAGTCTAAATATATCAACTCAAATCTTGATTGTAATAATTCTATAAATCATATATATATATATATATATATATATATGTTGATAGATATTTTTAGCCAAAAATGACACGACTTATGAAATATTTTTAAAAATCATTTCTTAAAATAGATCTAATAGAAATTTTAAGACACAACACTATTCATACTACAAAGCAAAAAGAATGTATTCTATCTCATTTTTTTTTTCTCTTAAAAGCTTTTGTAGTATAAAGCCAACTAATTGAAGCTTCTAAAATTCAATCAATTAAAAGATTTAAATTTTTTAGCCTCTCATCTTTTTTTCTAAGTATAAAGATTTAGTATAGAAGAGAAAGAAATACATTAGTGTAAGATTTTTAAGTTGTGTAGGTGTAGTTACAAATGAAAATTACAACACTTTATGTATTAAATGATAATAATTCTTAAGTAATATAACTAGTATTATTTCATAATATTTTTATGAAAGATTAGATTTTTTATATGTAATCTATTATTATTATCATCATTATCTATAACATGTGGTTATTTTATTTTAGAAGAATGCTCAAAATTTTTATTCAATATCAAAACATATCAGTAGACATTACAAGAAGAAAATGGACCAAAAAATCAAAAAATTAAAAACTAAAAAAAAAAAGCACAAAATACTTTACATAAAATAAGCATTTGTTTCAAAAATTACTTATTAAAAATAATTAAATAATAATTAAATAAAAAATATGTGTTTCCTATTTATATTCATTGCAAGAATCATCGACATCCTTAATCTTAAAAAACTTCAAAATATCAAAAAGGACATCAATATTGTACCTACATCATAAAGAAATAAGACATCATTTTTTATTGTATACCTTCTTTCTAACCTATTCACCTTTCACCACCCTCGACTGTACAATCATAACTGCAAAAAAAAAATCTTCCTTATGTTCTCTTCCCTCTTTTAAACACCTTGGGTTTATGTTAATTGGGTCTTGCTTTGTTGTGCCTGTTTTCTCACTATCAACTCAACCTATATCGAAATATAAAGCTTTATATTCCACCTGATTTGGTCGATTATAAGTAAGACATGATACAATTCCATGAGAGAAGTTTACTTGAATCAGTTAATTAGTGTTATATCTGCTAAGAACTGGCCAAAGTGAACAACTGCATTGATTTGCCGTCAAGTTCATCTCCACCACGGGAACAAAACCTTCAACCCATCTTTAGCTGGGAACGCAAAATCATGTTACTTTTGTTTACTTCACTTTTTTTTATTTTTTTTCATTTTGTTTTATTTTTCTGCTATTTGCAAAAAGAAGTTAGGAACATAAGGTTTAAAAATTTGCTACTGGTTTTGTTGACTTCAGCCTTGTTGGCTGCTTTGGATGCAGCTTCAGCCCGGCGCGTCCTAGCTGCTAATCTTAATGTCTCTGCGTGGTGCCGCGCGTCTGCCAATTTGTTGCTCAGTTTCTCATGAGCATAAAACCGCATACGCTCAGTCTTGATCTGCAATGCACAACTCGTGTTGCTCAGGGGAGGATATGAAATCAACCTTCTAATAATTCGACAGGGTGATGCTTTTAGACAGTTGCTCAAGGCTCTGATGTTGTGAGATGCATACCTCCACTCTGCGCAATTTAGCTTCTGCCTTCGCCCTCTTATGTTCTTCCCATTCCTGGACCTCACCCTCCTCTTGCTGGGAACTGATGGATATCCGACAAAAGCATAACTTAGCACTTTAGAATCCTGATCCGACTAATTTGATGGAAACATCGAAGTTGAAATCCGATAAATATGCGGTACTTCCCACGAGCTACTTTCAGTACACACCTGGAGTTGAACTTCATATCTTCTGCTTTCTCCCACGTAGCAGCTCTTGTGGCAAACCCATCTCCTGGACCATCTGTCGATTCGGACGGAGCTTTGGTGCTGCTTATCGGGGAAAAGTTTTCTTCGCTCGCAGCCCATGCAGCAATCTTAGTCTTGCCGAGCAGAGTCCCTAGCGCCACAATCTCTAGCCTGGTCCTTTCCTGGAATTCCTTGTCGGTCAACATCCTTGGGGGTTCCGAAATTCCATATTTGCTCGTGGTCTCGGCATCGTTCTCACTATACTCTGAAGAGCTCCCTTGCACGTTAACAGACATCTTCTCTGGAGCAATTGTTGTCCTGGCTGGTGTTCCTGGTCGTGAAGGCTCCACTGATGCTACTGGTGTCATTGAAGTACCGACGGCCCTCGTTGAAGGTGAAGTTTCCAACAGTGGAATTTCTACCTGCGTTCCAACATTCAAATTGCTACCATTGAGCTCTGATGAGGATATTCCATCTGGTGGTTGCAAACCTGGACGCGAGTATTGCTTCACCATCATCTTAAATTTTTCCTTTTCATTCGCTGGGAAACGAAGAATGTCTCCGCCTGTACCTGCTGTTAAATGCTTGATAGATGCCCCATCCCTGACTACAAAACGCTGCCCAAGTACGAAACATCTGTCATGTTGTGGGCCGCATGGAGATTCTTTCCAAGTCTTTGACATAATACCCTGGCTTGCAAGCATCCGGGCCAACATTGGTCCACTTCGTGCTTTCGTCCTCGCATTACTGATTTGATCACTTCCTGGCAACCACTTCTCTGCGTCGTCCCACTTTGAGGGAATGGGTCTCAATAGAGTCGCTGTATTTGACCTCTGGACGTAACATCTGTGGACATGGTTGGCTTCTTTCAGGCTATCGTTCTGTGTTTGGTCAAAATCCTCCATTTCGGAGATATACGCTGCATTGAAGCTGAAAATCCCTGGGGACCTGCTCATGATATTGGCAGATTGTGAGGCAGGAATTGAACTTAGTTTCTTCTTTTTCTTGAATTCTGTCACCGTCTTTTCTGCAACTGCGGATTGAATGGATTTGAAAGGCGGGGTCTGAGATTCCTTTGTCTCTCCCCTGGAAGTGTAGTGAGATATTGCCCCTCCATTCTCTCGGCCTCCAATGGAATCATTTTCCATAGATCGTGGATATGGTCCTGCATTTTAAAACACACAGATGTAAGAGATCTATGAATCTGAGTCATTTTTTCATAGTGAGAGATATGCAGCGATCCTCAAGGCTTACAGTCCCACTGCAACATGCTTAGTTTATAGCAATAGGGGGTAGAAGAGTTGCGAACGACCTCCATCAGAGGGCTTCGAGGTTCACCTTTCAGTCCTGACCTTCTGGGAGTGCTGCTGCCTAGCATATTGGGTTCACGGAGATCTCCAATCTGAAATCATGTAATTTAATAGTGAAGGCTCAGCGGACAAACATTATCTTCCATGGTAAGAATGATCTGCATGCTCAAATTTGTTATATCAGTTGGCACCGAGGAAGGCAAGCAACACCACTAGCAACATGCGGTTGGATTATACCTTCCAGGACTCTGATCCAGGGGATGCACTAAAGAAGCTTCTCTCGTCATGCTCTGAACATGACGTCCCCGCACACCCAGTCCCTCTGAAGCTTCCTTCTCGGTCGAAGGATATGCATGGTTCATTGGATGCCTTTGAAATTGTGGACATCGTTGGGCTGCTGGAGTTACTCCGCATGACCGAGTTTTGTATCACACATGTGGGACTGCACTCACCTTTTTTTGTTTTGCAACAAATGATCTAATCTCAGAATGAAAAAATCAAAAATTACACTTAACTAATCGGATCTAATAACGGGTAAAGAAAGGATTTCCATAGCAAAATAAAATACCACATTCAAGTTTTCTGTCGTCAGCAATCACTACATAGAAGTCAAAAGCAATCAGTTCTCTCCAGATTACCTGAACCAACTCCGCTATGACGCTGGCCCAAGTGGCAGACGTCCCCCAACTGGTCTTTCACCACTTTGAAACTGCTGGAACTGGAATTGAGCATGGAAGATTTAGGGCAAGCTTTGAGGGTAAACTTGGGATGGCGAAGACTTCTTGTCTCTACATCATACACCAAAGTTCTGGAACTCGACATGGCCAGGTCGGCCTGGTCCTTGCACCGCCCTTCGTCGACAACTACCCTGGAGGTAACCATAGGAAACGGTACTTCCTCCGCAAGATTAAGAACTCTAAAAAATTAAGCCGATAGGAGAGGAAATAAACATAGTGCAACCGTCTGAAGCTGTTTACCGAGCGTAATCAACATCCTTTAGAAAGCTGCAATGTTGAAACAGCTGACCGAATCTCCCCTAGAAAAGCTAGACATAGTGCCCAAAGATTCAACCCCGTTCCACTCTACCTGCGCACGAGGGAAACAAATTCGGACACACAAATCACAGCATGAATCAATTATATCCATCAAAGGACGATGCTGCATCTTAAGTTCACAAAGTAAGATCTGAGTCAACCCAGGGGAGCTTTAATTCTTGCTATGCGAAAGAGTGATGTAGGGATCAGCACTCAGGACATGAGGAATTGCAAATATTTCTTCACACAGCGTTCCAAAGTTAAAGAAGATGGGAGTGGGTTGCCCCCCTCGGGAATTGAGAGTAGAAACCCGTCGATCTCACATCCAATGAGGGTCGAGAATCATCCTCGGAAAATCAATAGGAGAAAAAAAGCAGCTCACCACGCTTTCAAAAAATGACGATCCTCAACAGCAGGACAAGATCACGACATCTGGGGTGCGCAGATTACCAACCTTGCAAAGAACCGCCTGTATGCCGAGATGTCCTGGTCAATTGCGAATGGAGCTGAACCCAAGGGGTCGACTTCGGCACCAACCCAACACAGTGACAGGCAGGGATGGGGAGCAACAGCAGTCAAGGAAAGCAAAGAAGAAGCAACAATGGGTGAGCAAGACTCTACCCGCTCCAACAAACTATCTTTCCTCCCCACTTCCCCCTTCCCCTACAGTCGTGGTACGTTGAACATGTGCACTTGCGGCGTACCTCGCAAGGAGTACCCACGTTCAGAAGCGAACCATGGAGTCACGGGTGCTTCTGACCACTATCACCATCTCCACCACCTCTTTGACGCATCAACAAGATACATTATTGCCAAGCAAATGCGCGACAAAAGCATTCATCAACTGGCGAACGTCGCGACGTGCTCACTTTCTCTCTCTCTCTCTCTCTCTCTCTCTCAGTCTCTCAGTCTCCCTCTCAGTCTCTCACTCACTGTTCACTCTCACTGTGCAGACTAGAACGTGATGGTGGAAGCTGGAGATGTTGTAGCTGCTAAAGGATACCACCCAGCAAGGAAGCAAGCAAACTGGAAGCAGCAACAACCATAACTCTCTCGCAGGCTGCAGCAAAAGGGCAGGCAGGCTGATCAACCTCTTCCTGATGATTTCGTCTGACGGCCAACGGCGTCTAAAAACCGACGGAATCATGAAACGATAAACAGATAGAGAGAACAAAGGCACTATTGACACTACTACAAATGGGCCCCACTATTTTCTGGATCCCACTTCGTTTTTGTGGCACTCACTCTGGGCAACTGTAACTTTTTTTTTGATTATGTGCACGTTTTTTTCATAGAAAGAAAGAAAAAAGGAGTAAAGAAAGGCATCATATTTGTGAGTCTAGATGTGCTGGCTTTTAGATGTTTTATTTTTTTTTATTTTTTTTATTCACAAGTACAATACAAAGCACATGCAATTTTTTTTAGTAAATTTTGAACTTTAAAGAAGGTGATGACCCAGTGTAAGAAATTTGTGAGGTTTATTATCCTTGAGTGCATGAGTTTGTTTACTTAGGTTTGTTTTTGTATTGCTATTTCTTACTTGTTCAAATTATATTTACAACTTAAATTTGAATTGATGTTAATTATTACATGAGTTTGTTTGCATTATATTTCCTTTTTTCTAATTTTGTATTTTAATAGAATGTTGCAAAATTAAAAAAAATTATTTCAAATTCTTTATACAAATTTGTAAAAAATTACGTAGTCATTAAATTTAAAATCCAAGATTGATTAAAAGACCAAAATTTCTATGTTTGTATTTTTTTTTTTATCACAATAATTTTTTAAATTTTAATTATTTGTAAAATAATTCATATTTCAAAATACACATATTCAAAGTTAAAAATTATTTAAAAAATTAAAAAACCAAATTTTATAGACTTAAATTACACTTGAGTAGCAATTCTAAAAGGCTATCTTAGACTTCAGAACATAGATAAACTTTGTACAGCTTATTTTTATCAATAAACTTAAACATAAGGAGAAGATTTATCTTCCTTACTTGCTACTCGCCCAAATGAGTAGTGGTTGAGGACGCTAAATTCTTTATCTAAACAAAATACAAATATATATATATATATATATATATATATATATTTTCTAATTACTCTATAATGTCACAAAGGCTAGTGATCTTGGTTGGCATTGACAACCTAAAATAGGATAATAAAGAATCAAATCCAAGAGGCTTTTGCATTGCTATGAATGTATATGACACAAATGCCAATCTTTTTTTGGCCAGCTTGGTATTTCTTTGCTTATAACCACTATTGTGAATAACTATTTTCTTAGTTGCTTTTGGCCTTAGACTTACAACCAATTCTTTTCTTAAATTTCCAATAAGCTTGTAAAAGAAAAATTTTAAAAATTAATTTTTCTAAATTATTAATTAGAATAAATATCAATTTTAAAAATTTATATATATTCATTCACTAATTTAGAATTCTTTTCTGATAGTCTTAAAGTAGAGGCCTAAATAATATGTTTTAAACTTTATAAACAAATATAAAATAGATAAAATAATTGAAGTATCTTTTATATTATTTAATTTAATTAATTTTTTTATAATATTTATTTTTATATAAAACTAAATTAATTATATGTAATTGAAATAAATACTGCTACATTCTAGGAATATAAAACATAAATCTTAGAATTTTTTTATATAAAAATAATATTTATAATTATTATTATTATTTTTTTTCAATTAAAATAAAAAAAATAATTATTTGTGTATATATGAATGTATGTGTATTGATTTATGTTTATAGATTTATATTATCTTTATTTCTTTATTTCTTTTTATAAATATTTTTGATTGTACATTTACCTCAAAAAAACTTATAAGCCATTCTTTTACAAAAATTAATACAATCTTATTCAGATATAATTTTAAGTTAATAGAATTAAATTTATCAAAGAATTATGTCACAAAAACATTTTATTCAATCGTATCAATCACAATCATATCAACTTCTAATTAATAATCTTATAGTTTTAAAAAATACTATTTTATATATATTAAATATAACAAAAATAATGGATTTGAACCAATTATAAGGTTTTTGAAGAAAATTTAATCTTAATTTGCAAAGCATTTTAAAAAATTCTTTTCAAAAATACTAAACAATCACAAGAAGAAGTAGACTCTTACAATCATGCTCAAATTTTATAGCATTTAAGTTTAATCTTGTAAAAAAGACATATTGAGTATTAAAAAAAATCCAAAATATTAAGTATATTGTTTTTTCAATATATTTATGAAAGATTGTGGATCATAAATAGTAATTGATATTTTAATTTAAAAAATTAATAGTAAAATTATTTATACTAAGCAATTAGTAGAATATCTAAAATAATATTCATGATTTTAAAATATGGATGTTGAAAGAAAATATAATAAATGGCTTGTAATTTTTTAATTTTAATTGGTCAAATGGTTTTTTTTATTCAGATTTGTTTAAAAAAGTAAACCTTTACAGTAGAAAATAATAAAAAAAATAATTTATATGGCTA